GATAATGGAGAGATAAGAAAAGCTAAGGGCGTTAAGAAGTATGTTGTTAAAAAGCATATCAAACACGAACAGTATAAAGAATCATTATTCAACGGTAGAACGTTCAAACACGAGATGAACTCTTTAAGAAGTTACAATCATAGGATATATGGATTAAGAATGAACAAGACATCATTATCCCCCTTAGATACAAAGAGATGGATTGATAAGGATGGTGTAACTACCTATGCTTATGGTTATGGTGGTAATACCGTACCGTCGGGAACTATGAACAACTCTTCTCGTACAAATGCCCTACCCGGTCCATCTTGAAGGTAATAAAGAATAGGCTCTCCTTCTTTCATAACCAATCGACTAATGTTATACGTCTTAAGGGACCATATGGGATCGGTTGGTATAAATATCTTACCCTTGCTCTATCCGGAAGTTTTTGTTCTTTGCCTCTCCTCGGTGCTGAAGATTCCGAAGTCACGGATTTCATTTTAATAGCATCTGATGGTTTCTTCCTGATTAATCTCGTTACTTCCTTATTCAGCGCTGATACAACGGCTGATAATCGTGTCACCCATTCGGTTGATCTCAATCGTTCCGATTTCATTTCGATCCCATACTGATAGCCAAACAAACGTTCCGCCAATGTCCTGTTAAATCTTTCGACGATAGCTTGACTGCGGTGGGCCTCTCTTTCACCACGGACGATTTCGACATCGTGCTTTGTTAACAGTTTAGTTACCGATCCCATAAACTCGCGACCGGGATCTACTTGAAATAGCTTAGCCCATTTTAGTGGTCCGCGTTTATATATGCGACTCAGTGCATTAGCTACCTCTGTTGATTCTTTCGAGGTTAATGGCTCAGCCTCTTTGTATCGACTAGCCACATCTACTACTGTTAAAGCGTATTTATACGTTTTGCGTTTTACCTTATCGTGGGGAAGAAACAAGAGGTCAGCCTGATGAACTTCATTCGATGTAAAAATATCAAACTTCTTCCTCGGTATATAACGCGGTGCCGGTAAATATATTTGCCACATCGCTTGTTTCTTTAACCAATCCTTGGCCACATCTTTAGATACCTTAGCCGCGGTGGCTAATTTTTTTATTGCTCCTATACCTTTCCAATATCCTCGTGGGCTATAGTAAATTTTATCCATTATTAATTAATATTGATGTTTCGTTTAATACAACTCATGACTATCATTGAATCGCATAATCATTTTGGCATAAAAAATGCCACCTGTAGTAGCGGTATAGGTATATGAATCCGGCTCCAGTGGAAGTGGTCCAGAACCCCCATTACCTATACTACTTGATCTGTCAGCTATGGCAGTCAACGCACTCAGCGTTCCCAGGGAGGTTTATCCACATACGCTCTTCTGCCTCCGGCTCTCCTTCCCAGGGTTCTTCAAATGTTCCAGGCCCCTCGCCCACTGATTTTGGGCATGCCCCGTTTGCCAGTAGGATTCTGGTTTCTTGTCCTCAGAGCCCTTGCCAGAGGCAACCCCCTAGACCTTCAGGTGTGGCTCAACCTCCTGTTACACCTACACAGCAGATTGCCACACCCAAACCCCGCCTGGTTTCACACCTGACGCTTCTGCCAAATGCCCCAGGAACCAAGGGCAACTCGGCTTGAATGGCCAAGGTTATTGCTTCAGCCTGTCGTCAGTCTACACAGGGACTGTATGTCGACAAAGAGTGCTCCTTCCAGGCCCTCTGACAGCGTCACCACACTTTCTGGAGTTTCTCTTTTATTTGCACAGCACACGTCAGTTAAAGGGCTCTACCATCTCTACCTACCTGACTGCCATTAACTCTGTGCTTGCATTCTCAGTCAATCGGAGAATGATGAAAATCACTGAACTCATTTTCAAGATCAGTAAGCCAAGTTCAGACTGCCTGTGTGGGATCTGTACATGGTTTTACTGGCTCTTCAGACAGCTGCCTTCGAACCACTCGTCTTCCTTCTATGACCCTACGAAGACGATGGTGTTCCCGCTGGTAGTGCTGCATGGGTCAGTGCCCTGCACACCCCCGAGGTGTCCGGTTTGAACGCAGTATTCATGGTGTGTCTTGGGCTGTGCAGGGACTTTATTGCCAAGAATCAACTCCCAGGACAGCCTGATAGATCATTCACCTTCCTCACCTTGCATCCATTGTGTGTGCTGAAGAAGAGGCGGAGCTTTCATTATGCCCTGTTAGGGCATTGAAGGTTTTCCTACATCTATCATGGCTCTTCACAGTAACTGCTCCATCCAGTCAATCATGGAAGGCTGCGATCTGACAACGTCTTCGCGAGCCACTACCTACCACTGTACAGTAGACACCTCTTATTGTATTGTGCTTAAATTCACATAGATGCCTTTCTTTTTGGATCAACAAACTGACAGTTCAAGTGAACTTATATTAAGATAAGATGTAATTTCATTGTATTGCATAAGGATATATTACATTAGTCCATACATCAAAAACTTGTTTTCCACAGAAGTCCTCTGCATTGTCAACTATTCATATCCAGTTGAGATACTAATAGTATCTCCCTTCATAACCTCTGTATGCGCAGCCAGAAAGTCTTCATTTCTTCCTGGGTGTGCTACTGTCAACATAAAATATAATTCTGAGTTGACATAGATCAAAAGTTTGTTATTTTTGGCACTGTAATATGTTTTAGTTTCCCAGTTTACATAGTCTACAAGAAGGCTTCTCAACCTTCATGGAAGGTGAAGAGGATTAGTTTTCCCTTATGGTCTTGCTTATATATGAACGTGTTTAAGGAACAAGATGGCATCTCCTCCACCTGCATGTAAGAAGTGTGGGCTTCCTACTGGAAGTGCCAATCTTGTGTCTGAGAAGCTGATGGTGTAGTCACTCACAGTCAACTGAGAAAGAACCCTTCCAAGATGCAGGGGAGCCATGGTTGAAGTGTCAGGTCAACACAGCCAAGCCGGGCGTAATGGCCAGTATGGTATTCATCAGACCACAAGAGGTGACACAGCTTGATTAGGTTGAGGCCAGCCGCTGACAGTCACACCCATAGATGAAAGTCCACTGGGACAGGCTATTAGCATGCGACAGCCGTATGGACCATATGGTTCTTGAAATAAAGTACACAGCCGTTTCACACCACTTCCATGGGTGGCTTCCATGGACAGCACAACCACACAAACACCAGGAACTAACCCGTTAAGCAGGTTGACGAAGTCAGTTAGAAGACAAGAGGCTGTGCTGCAATGCACGCATACTGCAGGAGGAACATATGCCAACCATCGACAAACCATCATCAGGGCAAATGCCTACAGGTTCAGATAATCACGTGTCACCTGTGCCCCAACCAATACACGGTTCAGAGGACACACCTCCTATTTACGCTTTTGGCCTAATAGTTACATATTTTTGCCTAAAAATAAATTTTACTCTTATCTTCCCCAAATTATAATTTTTGACATTTTTTTTCACAAATTATTTACATGTATAAAATATCACAGAGTGCAAATTGTTAATGCACCAATCACATGAAACATTCTACAGGGAGTCAATTGTATGTACACCAATATTTCTTAGGAACTCGAAACACCACATTGTCTTTCTTCAACATGATTGTCACATGATTAATTTTATGGATTAGTGGAGCTTTGACCACATGTTTCGGCATGAATGCAGTGTTTTCAAGTTCATTTATTGCCGCCTCGCTAAAAATAACATTTGTGGGCAAGCCTCCCACACGACAGCTTGAATTAAATGCTTTCGTAAGTGATTTATAATCTATTAATACCAAAGTTATTCAAAATACAATGTGTTTGTTTGAAATGTGGCCCTGATGTATGTCCAAAAGTTATATATGAATGCATTGCCGCTCAAACCTTTTATTTTTGAGGGAGGGGATATGGTGGAAAGTCTTGCCTGCTTCACGTCATATCAGCCAAATGAAAATGTCGAAGCGAAAAACAAGCATCATGGCACTACATTACTCTTTTACCCATGAAATTACGCTTTTTACCCCACCAATTACTCCAAAGCTTCAAATAGGGTTGGCATATCTGTACTTTTACCTGCTCAGATGAAGAGCAGAGAGACGGCTTCAACTCTGCTCGTTTATCTGCTGTGGATTTCCCTGATTCACAACAATCACTTGCCTACCAACCAGGACACTCATTCTCTGAGATAGTTGAGGAGTTTTATCGTCTTATGCTGAGCCTCAAGTCACCCATGGAAGCAGTAGCAGTACCTCAGATGATGTAGTATACAGAAGCAATTTACTTTTCCTTGGTCAAGTTACGGACCACGGGTTATCAAATGAGTTGATTGGTAAACTGAGGAGTGATGACAATCTGCCACTTCCTTCATTGAAACACATGCCAAACATACTGCACTCATGATTGTCCTTTACCTTACCATCAGCCTTGGACAAGGAGGTCTATGAACTTGTCAGGTCTCCCTAACATGACAATGACAAATGTCATATTCACTGTTAACAGTGAAAATGAATAGCTTGTTTGATGGTGGTGCTCAGTAAATGAGTAGTTTGTTACCGGTACATATCCCCCCCCCCCCCCCCCCACACACACACAAAAAAAAAAGAAATCCTGATGGCAATCATACAATGTGGGGTAAATGTTGTTATTAGATTCACTTGACAATACCATCCAGATCATTGTTGTTAATTGTTAATAGCTGGAATACTACCTCTATCATAAGTAATCCCACCCATTTCCCAATAATGTCCATCTAGGTTGCTGATGTTGGAAAGAAGGGAAGACTTTTCAACTGGTTATTAATAGTTGACAGTGAAGAGGACAGTGGAAAATCTAAAGACATTATAGTTAGATAGCAGCCGAAATACAGGATTTCTGGCACTGATGTACGGTAATAGAGATTCTCCATGCTGACAACACGTGTTTGTTTGGACACCAGCTGAGCACAATCTTTTCAGTCTCAAGCTTCTGTTAAATATCATTCTTATCTGCATTCATTCTATGATGGTGGGAATGTACAACTTTGTTGCAGGTTGTTCCTGTGCCACAAGATGTTGCTATGGATCTCAAGGAATGTTTTTTGGATATGGCACAAAATATTTCCATTGAGCTTCATGAGATACCTACACATTCTGATCTTTCCCAGGTGGGTAGCATGTTGTATGTATGCCTAACCTCTATCAATTGAGAATCTGCCAAACCACTAAGGGAGCAGCCCATTGATTTTCCGGAGTGATCGGATTTTGGTTTGAAATTAGAATATATTTGTTAATGTTTAGGAGCTCAATTATTTGTTATATTCTATACAAGTATTTAATTATTTTTTTTATAAATAAACATAATGAACTGTATGTTTTGACATTTGTCTGAAAGAAAAAGGCACATTGTTGTTTTCCTACGATGCGAGGCATATGTAAGTATGTTTTACTAAAACAGGACCTTGATTATTTTATTAGAAAAAAATCCCACTAAAACCTAACCACACCCCAACTCCAGCCATCCAACCCCACCCACTCCACCCCCAGAAAGTCAGATGGTTGCTTCCTAAGCCAGGATGTGTAAAAAAAACATTTAATGAAGAAAAGGTTTCAAAATGTGTGTACTCAGTGCCTTTTTTATCTATTAGGTTTATCTTCCCCTGAAAGTTCAAGAGGAGATCAAACTGAAACTGGAGCATGATGGAAACAGTAGAAATCCAGATGATTTGTTGGAGCGTTAAACTACCATTATGGTTGATGTTATTTGAAAGGGGGCATATTGAAATTGAATTCACACTTGATCCCACAATCAAACCGATTTTTGTCCCCCACCCAAGTTTGGCTGTGTATACAGAAAGAAGGCTATGGCAGTAATCTATCCTGGAAGGTAGATTAATACTAATTTGAATCGTCCAGGTTGAATCACTTCAGAACTGCCAATCACAAATATTATTAGCAGACTTGTCATCTCTTTTGTGTATGGTCAAATATATGTCAAACTTTGATGTACTGTTAGCTTATGACTTTTCTGAATTGAAATTGAAGATGTTACCAGTTGTGTGGGTTTGAGTTATTTGGACTCCCTATTTCCGGCAATGCCTATATGATGTTTACAGATTGTCCCAGCTGGAGCACCCTATTTCTATGCAGAGCTTCCATGTGGTGCTAAACTCCTGCACAGGATATCATCAAAGTTCCCTCTGCAGTTTGCAAGGTAAACACTCCGTTTTTATGTCACATGACTTAAGATTGTAGAATCATGTTTGTCATCAGTGAGTGAGTGAATGATGTTTTGATAATGCAGCAGGCATCATACTTCATCAGTGATATCCAAACAATGTTTCACCAATCAACTGTTTTTCTTACCACCTGTGCCATTTAATGATAATGGTAATATGCTAAAATGTCTTTATGGATTGGAGAAAACACGCTCACGAGGTTTTGGTAGACAGAGCATGCCCTGGGGAGAGGGAAAGACCAAAGGGGCGAAGCCCCCGCGGTTTTTCCCGATCCCCAGTGCATGCTCTGTCTACCAAAACCGAGGGAAAGTGTTTTTCAATACTTATAAACCGTCTAAATTGATTAAATGTTATAACGAGCATCTATAAATGAGGCGCTTCATTATAGCGCTTCCTTGAAGACGTGATATCATAACTTGCACGTGAAATTCGCTGACTTGCCAGGCGGTCAAGAGCGCTTGGATGTGTCAACAACAAAACACAACTAAAATACTTACTTTTAAATGAAAGTGAAATCTTCGGTCTCTAAAAGTTTGTGTTGCAATATTCCACTTCTTTTAAACTTTTCAAAACGAAAATTCGCAAATTTAAAAGGTGTCTTTTGCTTTACAAGATTTACGACTTTAAACAATCCAACTGTTACCCAGAGGTAGTTGTGACGTAATGGCTAGCAGTTACTTCACGTGCAAATTGTGCAGCATTGATAAGCACTTGTTTAAAAGCATGTGTTTTGAAACCTCGCTGTCCTTTCACCAGAGAGTCTGAAGTGGAAAGATGAGCGACGACGACTTTCGTTTTGTTACCAAGTCTTCATTCACTGTACACATGACATTCAATTTTAATTGAATTAAAATTTTGAATTGCTACTTGTAGTCATTTTTTCAGTTACTTGGTTAAACCTGGGATTTGAGGTTTTACATTCAAAGTAAAACCTCCAGAACGAAAAAAAACCTCATAATAGGTTTTACTTTGAAAGTAAAACCTCACAATAGGTTTTAATGCCTATAGAAAGAACTCTCTTACTTAATAGAGATCCCAATGAATAGGTTTATGATACAACTGTGAGACTGGACTTGAATAGAACCAGGAATGGATGAGTCAAAATGAAACTAATGTAAAGGTTACTTAAAGAACAGAATATGCCTGTACTCATTCATGCCACTGAAATAGCAACTCTGGCATCCATTTTGATGATTATGTAGTAGGTGCCCTCTAATAGGTGCCCAGTGGCAGCAGAACAATATAGATGTGGTTCAAATGTCAGATGTTTACTGCAGTGCTTTGCATTGTGTCCTCTCCTCCCTATGCAGTAATGCTATGCCTACATGTTCTGCAAGGCTCCTGGCCAGGTTATCAATTCTAATTATAGGGGAAAATACAAAACAGGAATAAATTTTAATTTAAAGTTTATTTTAACAAAAACAACAACAGGGGGCAAACCTTCATCAACAAAATCCTTACCCTTCCCTACCTACGTAATACAATTCATCATTCTTCCTGAAACTTGCCCTTATAACCACCCCTCTAAATTAACTCCCTAAAGTAAAATGTCCCAAACAAACCTTACTTTATTTCTTTCCCACCCATAACTAACACTGACCTTAAAACATTATCCAAAAAAAGAAAACGGACAACTAGTGAAAAAGTGTGAAAGGGTCTTGATTCAAGACCTCATATATTCTAGACCACATATTTTCGGAGATGCTGGTGAAAGGACGACTGACAATTCCCTTACTTACTTACTTACTTTAGAGATTTAACGTGCGCTTTCCGACTGATGCGTATTTCGCACACGGACCCGGCCAGGCCATTTAATGTGTTTCCGAAAGGGGCGAAAGTGGTGTGTGCAACCCAAGAGGGGGCTTTAGGGGTTGCTTATATAGAATTTGGGAATTTTGAGATTTGGAATAGATGCCGATGGGGTAGGGGAGGAGAACTAAGGGAGCTGGGTATGGTGGATTTTTGTGTGTTTATGTAATTTTGATTTGGTGGATTATAGTGTTTTTAGATGCGTTTTATTAGTTCCGTTTTGATTAAGAATACGCCTAAGGCCTTGAAGTTTTCTAGTTTATTTTGTGGGTTTAGTATTGCTTCTAGAGTGAGAGCCTGGTTTAGATTGAGGGTGGTTTGTAATGCGGTTCGATGTGTTAGGTAGTGTGTGCAGTAGATGAGTGTGTGTTCTGGGGTTTCTAGTTGTTTGCAGTGTGGGCAGTTACCTGTAGTATGTTTTTTTATTTTTTTTAGGTGGTTATTTAGGTTGGTGTGTCCTGTTTGGAGTTTAGTGATTACTCTGTCGATTTTTTTTGATGGATGGTGAATTTTTGGTTTGGTTAGTGGTTTGCTGAGTACTTTTTTGATTTGGCTATTTGAGTTTAGATATAGGTTATGCCATTTTTTGGTGATTTTTTGCTTATTTACACTTTTAATTTCTGATTTTGAGATGGGTAAGTTTAAGCTTATTTCTGGGATTTTGAGGGATAGTTTAGCTGCCTTATCGGCGTTTTCATTACCGTATATTCCTACGTGGGCGGGTATCCACAAGAAAGTTATTTGTTTGCCTGCGTTAGTTAGGTCGTTGGAGCTTTTAAGTATTAGATTTATTAATTTAGGTCGGTTTTTGGTATTTTTGTTTTGGAGGGCTTGCAGTCCACTTAGGGAGTCGGTAAGTATTAGGATTTTATTGTGGTTTTTGGATTCTTGACTATGGAGGGCTGAGGCCATGCCCATTAGTTCTGCCGTGAATATTGATTGGTTGTTTGGGAGTCGGAAGGATTGTGTAGTTTTAGTTGGTTGTGTGGTATGGACTCCGAAACCTGTGTGTTTGGAGGTCGGATCTGAAGATCCGTCCGTGTAAATGTGACACCAATTTGGCCAATTTTCGTGTATGTATGCTAGTGTAGTGGTTTTAGCTATGTTTGGGTCGGTTTGTTTATTTATTTGGCTAGCTAGTGTTGTGTCTATTTTGGGTATTTTAAGTTTAGGGGTGAAGATATTTGATTGTTTGCAGTTTTGTTTAAGATTTTTAATTTTGTGTTCATTTAGGTAGTTTGTTATTCTTTGGGATATTGGGGTAAGTAAGGGGTGTTTACGAGCTAGAGCTTGGTTTTTGGGGCTGATATTCTGGTTTATTAGGTTTTGGATCAGAGGGTTTGATTGGGATGCGGCCCAGAAATTTAAGCTTAGCTGTTCCCTGCGTAGACTTAGTGGCATTTCTCCTGTTAAGGCCTGAAGTGAAGTGTAGGAGGTGCCATGTTGGGTGCGTGTAATTAGTTTGAGAGCCTGATATTGTATTGAGTCAAGTTTTTTAGATAGAGAGTTGTTTAGGGTGTTGTATATGGCGCAGCCGTAGTCTAGTTTTGATCTAATTAGTGATATGTAGAGTGAGAGGAGGGTATCTTTGGAGGCTCCCCAGTTTGAGCCAGTGAGGCATCTTAGGGTGTTTAGGTCTTTACTGCATTTAGTTGTTAGGTTTTGGATGTGAGCATCCCAGGTGAGATGTTGATCGAAAATAAGTCCTAAGAATTTGGTTTGTTTTTGAAATTTGATTGTTTGGTTGTTTAGCTGGAGGATTGGGGAGGCGGGTTTCATGTTTTTATGTTTGAATACTATTCCTGTTGTTTTTTCTGAGTTAAGGGAGAAGCCCCATTTGTCAGCCCATTGTTGTATTTTATTAAGAGATTTTTGGAGTAAATTTTGGGCCATATTAATACTTTTTGTGCGGATCCAGATGGCTCCATCATCCACGAATTTGGATGTGTTTACTTTAGGGGATAGGCCCTCGAAGAGATCGTTTATCATTATATTAAAGAGTGTGGGGCTGAGGATACTGCCCTGGGGAGTGCCATTTTCTAGGGGACACTGGTCCGATAGAGTATGGTCTATCCCCACTGTTATTTTACGTTTGTTTAGAAAGTCCTGAATGTAGTTTATTATTTGTCCTTTTAGTCCTATTTTTTTAAGTTTTTGTATTAGCCCGTTGTGCCAAACCATGTCGAATGCTTTGGAGAAATCCAGAAAGATGCCTGTTGTGTATTGTTTGTTGAGTTGTCCTGTCTTTATGTCCTGTTCTAGTCGGGCGAGATTATCTAAGGTTGAGCGGCCAGGAGTGAAACCGCTTTGATCTGTGTTTATGATGTTATTTTGAGTTAAGTACTGTTGTAGTCTATTTTTGGCCATAGATTCCATTACTTTACATAGGTTTGAGGTTAGGGATATTGGTCTATAAGAATTTGCCTGGTTAGTTGGTTTATCGGGTTTAGGGATAGGGATGACTAGTGCCTGTTTCCAGGGAGTTGGTACCTGTCCGTTTTGATAGATTAGGTTATATAGCTTAAGTAGTGCCTGGAGTAGGTTGGGGGGGAGTTTTTTTATTATTTGGTAGGATGTTAGGTCTAGTCCTGGGGCAGTTCCCTTTTTCCTATTTTGGAGTACGTACTGGAGTTCTTCCATTGAGTAAGGTTGGTTTATTTCGAGGTTATCATTATTTGGTTCTTTAGTAGGTTTGGCTTCTGCTTTAAGTTTTTGTTGGAATTTTTCGCTGAAGTTATTGTTGCTGCTTATGGCCGAGAAGTGGTTTGCTAGGTTATTTGCCTTTTCGGTAGGGTTGGTTGAATTGTTTATGTTGGGTGTTTTTTTGTGACGTTTTAAGCCTCTAATGGCGTGGATTTTTCGCCAGACTGTTCTGGCATCTGTGCGATTATTTACTCCTTCACAAAATAATTTCCAATCTTTGGTTTTAGCTATTTTGACTAGTTTTTGGACCTTGTGGTTTAGTTCGTGAGCTACCGTTATATGGTTATGGTCGCGTTTGGCTCTATTGAAGGCTGTTTTACGTTTGCGTCTAGTTTGTTCTATTTCCTCGTTCCACCATGGTACCGAGGGTTTGCCTACGTTATTTGTTTTATAAGGTATTGATGCTTTGGCTGCGTTAATTATGTAGTCTGTTAGGTTTTTGCAGTAGATTTCTGGGTCCTTA